GCAGAGCTGGTAGGGTGCCTCATGTACTTGATGACCTGCACTCGACTAGATCTAGCGTACCTTCTCAGTCTCCTTGCTCGCTTTGTTGCAACAGGCAGGCACCGATCAGTCCAGTGGTTGGCTGCCAAGAGGGTATTGCGGTATCTGGCGAGTTTATCAGGACTGGGGCTTGTGCTAGGAGGACGGGAGCCAGTGGTGCTCACTGGACACACCGACCCTTTGTGGGCTGATGACGTGGAGACGCTCAGGTCGCCTCTGGGCTACTGTTTTAGTCTTGGTGCTGGTGCAGTCTCATGGAGGTGTAGCTCAGTCGAGTTGTGAGGCAGAGATCTATGCTAGTGCAATGGCCGCTAAGGAGCTCCGTTGGTTGACGTTCTTGCTCACAGACTTAGGTGAGCAGCCTAGGTCTGCCCCGATCTTGTTTGCTGACAACAGGGCCATGATCCTCCTGTGTCAGTAGGCTCGACTTGAGGGAAGAGCGAGGCACATCTAGCTGCGGTATTTTCTGCTGCGTGAGTTGAAGCCGGAGACAGGAAGGTGAGAAGGTGGTGGGGGAGACACCGGCGAGCGGTCAGGGGAGGGAAGGCCGAGCAGGCGAAGAGCGGAGACCGGCGGCGACGGCTGCGGCGGCTGGTGCGGCGGCTGGTGCTCGACTCGCGGACCGGCAGGGGCACGACGGCTGCTGGGAGAACACTCAACAGCAGCACCCCCAGAACCAACACCCCCAGAGCGAGAACCCCCTCCAGCATCGGCGGCACCCCCAGGCCCGCCGGGACAGACCACGCCACAGGCCGCAGGACGAACACCCTCCTCAACGCCAGCACCCCCAGAGGCCATGAGCGGCAGCGGCGGCGACGGCGGCGGCGGCTGCGACTGCGGCGGCGGCGGCTGCGACAGCGGAGTCGGAGACACCGGGGAAGGGGGACGCGGCAAGGACGGGCCAGGGGGACCACAAGAGTCAGCAGACTCCTCAACGGGGACAACCGACAGGAGGGGAGTGACATGGGAGACACCAGACGGGGCAGGACGAGGCGGGAGGGGAGTAGGGGCTACCGGGAGAGGGGGAGCCAGGAACAAGGGGGGGGAACCGGGAGACCTCGGTGAGGGAATCGACAGTAGAAGGAGACAGACTCGTCAAAGGTGACGTCACGAGAGTGAAGGAAGCGGTGAGACTGCGGGTGGTAGAACAGCCAGTCAGACGAGTCCAGGGGGAAACCAAGGAAGACACAGGGGACAGTGCGGGCAGTGAGCTTGTCCGTGCCAGAGGCACGAACGTGAGCAAGGCAACCCCAGACGTGGAACGCAGACGCGTCACCGGGGGACACGGTCCAAAGGAGGGTCGGTGAAACCCGCGGCCGCTGGGAGCGTGGCCACAGGTTAAGCTGGTGTGCAGCGTAGCAGACAGCGAACGGCCATAGAAAATGGGGGGCATCAGCATGAATCATGGAGGTACGAGCAACCTCCATGACCAAGCCGATGCGGCGCTCAGCAACCCCATTCTGCTGTGGCGAGTCCGGCAAGGTGTACGACTGGGTGATGCCCTCCGCACGACAGAATTGGCCAAGCCGACCAGAGGCGAACTCGCCGCCACGGTCAGAGTGGAGACACAACACGGGGAGACCACTGTGAAGACGCGCAGCCACAACCCACTGGAGAAGAACGTCGAGCACGTCGGCCTTCCGCTCTAGGGGAAACACCATGGTGTAGCGCGTGTAGTCGTCGACGAGCACAAGAAAGTAGCGCTCACCGCACGGTCCGGGGACGGGGGCTGGGCCCCAAACGTCCAGGTGCAGGGTCTGAAGGGGAGCAGTAGCAGGGCGAAGCGAGGAAGAGTGAGGGGCACGGCGGAGCCGGCCCTCGACGCAAGGCGTGCACAGTGGCGCAGTCGATGGGGGAAGTGCGGGGAGCGACTCGGGGAGGCCTAAGACAGGACCGTGCTGAGACATGTGACGCAGGCGCGGGATAGAAGGGTGACCTAAGCGGTGGTGCCACAGAATGGACGGGTGTGTGAGGGACCGATACGAGCAAGCTGCAGCGACCTGGGAGGACGCACCAACCGGGGGGGAAGCGGTGTCGAGGGTAAAACGACCGGACACCGGGTCCTGGGGGAACGTCGCAAGGGGGGAACCTGAGACTGCCTCGGTACAGACAGCGAACCGCTCGTGCCTAAGGAACGTAGTGGTGACGCCGAGGTCCTGAAGACGGCCGACACCAACCAGGTTCCTGGAGAACGAGGGAACGTGCAGGCCTGTAAGAGAGCCCGAGGGAACGGCTGGACAGGGAAGGGAAGTGGAGCTGCGAGCGACGACAGAACCTGCGGAGGGGTCAGCGAGAACGACAACTGCAGGCGCAGCAAGCGGCGTGAGCGTGGAACGGTCGCGGAAGAAACAGGCAGAAGCACTGGAGTCGAGAGTGAAGGATAGCGAGGCAGTAGCGGAGGCCGGGAACGGAGCCGGTGCAGAAACTAGGCTAGGCAAACTAGGCAGTCCTACGCCTGACGCAGCAGGGGAGGCTAAGCTACACAAGGGTTTTACTCCTAAACTAGAGTACACATGGTAATAAGATCCAGCAACACTAGAAGCGTCAGCATACAAGGCATGCAAAGTAGCACCTATCTAAACGTGCACTGGGAGGGGGCACAGCCGTTAAAGATAGGGACTGCCGACGCACTGCTCGACTGAGCAATAGTGCGCTGGCGAGTCTCGATCTCGGTCAGGGCGGTGACAAAGGCTGGCAAGGTGAGATCACCCGGGTGCTGGCTAAGGATGTGGTCGCGTGCACTAGCAAGGCGATCAGGCAGGCGCATAGCGATAAAGTAGAGGGTCATGCAGAAGGGGGGAGGGAGCGCAGTGAGCTGGGCAGCAGTGCTAGCAGTGCGGTAGCGAGACTCTAGGGCACGCAGGTGAGTGGCAAGGTCAGCAACAGTAGGGAAGGAAGCAAGGTCTGGGAAAAGCATAGGGAAGAGCAGGCGGCCTCCAGTAGCGGAGGCAGGCATGGAATAGCGAGCAACAACAGCTTCTAAGTAAGCCTTGGCTGTATCAACTGTAGCAAAACGCGAACGTTCAGTCACAGGGAGGGCATGACTGATAGCAACCTGAGCAACTGCATCGCGAGAGTCCCAAACGGCACAGAAAAGTGCAGCAGCAGAGAAAGTCTCACGCTCAACAGAGGTGGGGTCAGCAGGGAGGGGAGCAGGCGCAGGGGGGCGGGGGAGCAAGCCATCAGTATGGAGAACCAAGGAGTGCCCATCCTGGTGCTGACCTGTGAGTTGACGGCGGAGATCGGACAGCCAGGCGGCGAAGTCAACCGCATGGCCCTCAGCGTCCAGGCGGAGTACGAAGTCAGCCATCGTGCAGGGTCAGCGACACAGGGACACAGCGGCACAGCTCCACACAACACAGCGGCACAGGGACACAGCAGCACAGCTCCAGGGGGACGTCTGCAGGATGCTCCAGTGCTGGCAAGCAGAAGACACAAGGCCGGAGACCCGAGGAACCGTGCCGAGCAGAAGACACGGAGCCGCAGGAGCCGGGCAGGCGTATCGAGGCCGGGCAGGCGTTGGGTGGGGCCGGGCGGGCGGTGTGGGACTGGCGGGCACAACAGGCCGGGCGGGCGCTAGCAGGGGCCGGGCGGGCGCTATGGAGGGGCCGAGCGGGCGGTAGAGGGGGCCGGGCGGGCGCTAGGAGGGGCCGGCTAGGAGCGGGTGCGAACGGCCAGGGGGCCGGCTAGGAGCGGGCGCGACGGCCAGGGGGCCGGCTAGGAGCGGGCGCGAACGGCCAGAGGGCCGGCTAGGGGCGGACGCAACGGCCAGGGGGCCAGCTAGGGGCGGGCGCGACGGCCAGGGGGCCGGCTAGGGGCGGGCGCGAAGGCCAGGGGGCGGCTAGGGGCGGGCGCGACGGCCAGGGGGCCGGCTAGGGGCGGACGCGACGGCCAGGGGGCCGGCTAGGGGCGGACGCGACGGCTAGGGGGCCGGCTAGGGGCGGACGCGACGGCCAGGGCCCCAGCTAAGGGCGGGCGCGACGGCCAGTGGGCCGGCTATGGGCGGACGCGACGGCCAGGGGGGCGGCTAGGGGCAAACGCGACGGCCTGGGGGCCAGCTAGGGGCGGGCGCGACGGCCAGGGGGCCGGCTAGGGGCGGACGCGACGGCCAGGGGGCTGGCTAAGAGCGGGCGCGACGGCCCGGGGGCCAGCTAAGGGCGGGCGCGACGGCCAGGGGGCCGGCTAGGGGCGGGCGCGACGGCTCGGGGGCCGGCTAGGGGTGGACGCGACGGCCAGGGGGCCCGCTAGGGGCGGGCGCGACGGCCAGGGGGCCGGCTAGTGGCGGACGCAACGGCCAGGGGGCCGGCTAAGGGCGGGCGCGACGGCCAGGGGGCCGGCTAGGGGAGGACGCGACGGCCAGGGGGCGGGCTAGGGGCGGACGCGACGGCCAGGGGGCCCGCTAAGGGCGGGCGCGACGGCCAGGGGGCCGGCTAGGGGCGGACGCGACGGCCAGGGGGCTGGCTAGGGGCGGACGCGATGGCCAGGGGGCCCGCTAGGGGCGGGCGCGACGGCCAGGGGGCCGGCTAGGGGCGGACGCGACGGCCAGGGGGCCGGCTAGGGGCGGACGCGACGGCCAGGGGGCCGGCTAGGGGCGGACGCGACAGCCAGGGGGCCGGCTAGGGGCGGACGCGACGGCCAGGGGGCCGGCTAGGGGCGGACGCGACGGCCAGGGGGCCGGCTAGGGGCGGACGGGACGGCCAGGGGGGAGGGGGCCAGCTAGGGACGGGTCACGAGGGCGGCTAGGGCCTAGGGCGGAAGCGTGGGCGGGCGAGAGGAACCGAACCTACTCATGATACCATGTTAGAAAGAGAGAATGAGTGGACTAGTGTGAGAAACCTAGAACATGTACCTGTTGGGGTTGTACTCACTGGAAGCACACACCTAGGCTAGCCTATAACTTCTACATACAGCATATGTATAAGTTGACACTAAAAACTATGTTGAGGAACAGGCGGCAACAGCACATTTACAGTGCACTTGTATCAAGACAATGCATCACAGAAAGGATAGAAAGCGGAAAACTTTCCGCTAAAAAAGGGTACAGAAGTGTTTCATACATGTCGGCATAGTGTAGTGAAGTGGAGCTGTGTAGAGTAGCCACCATACTAGGGCAAGCGAAGGTGCGCAAGCGCAGCGCTCAGCCTCAGAAGTGTCAACCGAGAGAGGGACTTTTGACCAGCATGACGCCCACATGGCTACAAGAGGGACCTTCTCCCTACAAGGAAGCTTCAGTTATTATTCCACGTTTTGCTGCCTGTGTCATGAGGAAACTTCCTCCATGTCGAACTGCTGCAGCGTGGCCAAGGTGCTGGGAAGAGCACTGCACGGGTTGGGAGGATGGAGGGCAGGTTGGGAGGATGAAGAGCATGTGAAGAAAAATAGAGGGCAGATGGCTTGGAAATGGAGATAAGGAAATGCACGGGCTTCTCTTTTCCCTTTTCTTTCCTTCCCCTTCCCTCCCATATCAGCTCACAGCAGACCCAAACGCCCAAGTCCAAGAAACAGCACGCACTCACCTGCGAGTCCGCACTCACTTTCCCCTAACCCCTCTCCCCACCCTTCCCCACTGGAAACCCAAATCCAACACACACCCACCTGCCCTAGGTGATTATCGAGTCAACTAAAAAAAATCAATACACACTCACCTGCCCGCGCGGATCACTCTAAACTTCCCCCTTTCCACCAGCTCCACAATAGTCGACCCCCGGCGCCTCTCCTCCCCTTGCTTTCCCCCGTCAAACACCGCAGCGCATGCCCCCCACAGCTCCCAAAACTCCTCTGCTGCTATGGCGGAGGGGCGCCCGGAGAGGTTGGCGGAGGTGAGGGCGAGGGGGGCGGCGAGCAGGCGTGAGAGGGAGCGCACGAAGGGGAAGTCGGGGATGCGGACCGCGATGGAGGGGACGGTGCGCGTGAGGGAGGGGTGTATGGGGGAGGTGGGACCTGGGGAGAGGAGGGGAAAGAGGTTGGAGGGGATGAAGGGGCAGGGTTAGGGGGGAGAACGGACAGTGGGGAGGGATGGCATACACATGATATTTTTCTTGCATCAGGCTGCTGAGAAGCAATATGCGAATAGCAATGGCCTGACCGGAAAGGGGGGAGGGGGGAGGGAAAGGGGGGGGGGAGGGTATGAGGGAGGTTGGAACTGGGGAAGGGTGAAGATACACATGGTGGAACAGGGCGAGGAGGGTGACTGGGCCCGGCAACAGGTGACTTACTACCAAGCGGGCAGCAAATAGATACAGGCATAAGCAAAAGCGCAAAGACAAGGCGCACAGACCCAGGCCCACTCACTTTGGGGCAGCACGAGAGTGACTGGACCAGGAAGAAGTGCCGGCAGGAGAGCGGGCGGCAGGTGCTTGGTCTCAGCGTACACTGCCACGTCAGCAATGTCTGCTACGGCGATCGCCAGAGGCTTGTTGAAATCCCGGCCCTTGATCGCGTAAATGTGCGCTATCCCCTCAGCTGACCTATGGGGGACGACGCAAGAGAAAAGGATGGTGAGAGAGCTTGGCAGGATGCAGACAGAAACCACTTCCGCTTGGTGAAGTGCGCGCGACTCTTCTTAGAATGAACCACAGAAGCAAGAGCCTCGTGCATCCCCCACGTCCCCCTCCCACCCCCATCCCCCTCTCCTTCTCCCGCTGAGCCAAGATCACCTGGCATCCGCAGCAAAGCCGTAGATGGTATCGGTGGGGACTGCTATCACTTGGCGCGCTTTTAGTGCGGCCACTGCCGCCGCCACATTGGCAGGCACAGCCGGCAGTAGGAGACCGGGGTGAGGAGGGGGAGAGAGGGAGGGCGAGAGGGCGGGAGTGGAGGAGGAGCGGGAAGGACTACTGGACGGGTTACTGGACGGGTTACTGGACGGGTTACTGGACGGGTTACTGGACGGGTTACTGGACGGGTTACTGGACGGGCTACTGGACGGGTTACTGGACGGGTTACTGGACGGGTTACTGGACGGGTTACTGGACGAGGGGGATGTAGGGAAGGATGGGGGGAGCGGCGGGAGGTGAGAGACGGACGATGGAGGGGGGGAGGAGGAGGAGGGGAAAGAAGAGGAGGAAAAAGGGAAGGGTCTGGGAGAGGAGAGATGGCCGTTGGAGGGAGAGCGGTGAGTGATGTCAGGGTGAGCGGGGGCGCAAGCGGCAGCCTCGGATGCCGCGTCGCGCTCCAGTGTGGGCTGCGCGGTTAGTCCGTCGAATTGCCTGCTCTAACACGCACGGACAAACGCAAGCAGAGAGAATGTGTTGGAAAGCGGTGGAGGAGGGGGGGGGGGAGAGGGGGGGCGGGGGGAGAAGGAGAGGGGGGAAGAGGAGGAGTGGGGAGGGAGGTGAGGGAGGGGAGGGAGAGAGAAAGTTTTGGTAGTAGAGACTTAATGCGTAACTCGCGCTCCGTGCGAGATGACTGTGTGGTATGCGTCCCAAAACTCTCTCGCATGCACCTCGGCAGCGCTATGACGAGAAACGGATGGCAAAACGAATCAACCCAACAGCAAACGCCCTTGCCAATATACCTCGCATCGGTTGATCGTTTCTGATCTGGACCGTTGAATCGGTCATCGCCGTCCATGTGCTTGTAACGAAGGCTCCGCGCGTTGCCAGTGCAATTCGCGGAAACGTCCCTCAGGGCGCAATTAGGGCTAATGGCTGCTGCGGGGAGAGTAAAAACAGCTGAAGAGAGGTTCTTATAACGCGTATGGGAACTGCCCCCTTGTAACGCGGAGGAGCACCGCAAACTCAGCGGTATTATCGAGTTTCCCCAACCGAAAGAGGTGTACGCGGTAGAGGATGATTCGACATGGCTGTTTACGAAGCAAACACGATCGGGCAACGAGGAGAGTGAGGGTGTGTTCGCGATCGGAGTGAACCGATTCGGCGCGCAACGGACAGCACCGCCACCGCCACTGCCAACGCCAACACCAACGCCACTCATCTCAGCCGATTTGCCTGTCCTGGGAGAGTATAACTGTCGTAATGCACGGACAAATGCCCGCGCGGCAATAGTGGCGGTAATAGGAGATTCGCCGCGACAGAATCCTGCTAGTGGTGAGTCAGGAGCAGAATCTATCGCTTGCTAGCGGGGGAGAAGGTCACGGGGAATGAAGAAAGTCGAAGGTGAGTGACATGAGGAGCTAATTTCAATAGCGAGGCGAAGATCTTGTAACAAATGGACAAGAAACCAGCACAGCAGCAGCAGGGCAGCAGCCGATCGCAGCTCCGGGAGAGGAAGACGGGTTTAAAGAGCGGTTTTGGTCGGGCAGGGTTTAAGCTTGTGGGGTTTGCATCAATGTTGGGTAGAATGTGTTGTTTTGCCGCTCACCCCTGAGAATTGACAGCCCTTAGAGTCACTAGATCTCTTCACCCCATAATCCACGGGCTGTCTATTCAAACGAGTTGGACCCCCCACAATATCAGGTCCCTTGCAAGCGTGGTCAAAGGTCCGTTGCCAACCATATTCGGCCAATCAGGAACAAGAGCAGGGGCGTCGCTCAACCTAGACGGCTTTCTTCGCCCAAGGAGGAAGCTGTACATCATAACTATAGTGCGTACATGATTTCTAGGAGCTAGGCATTGTTACACGTCTTCTACTCCGTCCATATTAGAGCCTACATCTTAAGATGTTACTTTTCCTTCTCCCATCTGACCTGTCTTCCACCTCTGGAAATGTAATTTGAATGGTGCCAGTGTAGGAATACAAGGTTAATGATACAATAGGTGTAGGCTGTCAAACATTTGTATCTCTAATGTTTGTATAGACTGTATAGGATCACCTCTTAGAGAGTCCAACCCTTAGATATATATCCTTGTACCCAGGTTCTCTAGTTCAATTCATCATTCAGTTCTAAGATGGTATCAGCAGTAGGTAGGTCCCGTCGCCCGCCCACACTTCCGCTCTAGGACCTAGCCGCTAGCGTGCCCGTCCTAGTCGACCGCCCTAGCCGCGCCCTAGCCGCCCATCCTAGCCGCGCCCGCATGCCCGTCCTCTCGGCCCCGCGCCCGTCCTAGCTGGCCCCTGTGCCCGTCCTACCGGCCCCCGCGCCAGTCCTAGCCGGCCCCGCGCCCGTCCTAGCTGGCCCCCGCGCCCGTCCTAGCCGGCCCCCCGCGCCCGTCCTAATGGCCCCGCGCCCGTCCTAGCCACCCCCCCCCCTGCGCCCGTTCTCTCGGCCCTGCGCCCGTCCTAGCCGGCCCCCGCGCCCGTCCTAGCTGGCCCCTGCGCCCGTCCTAGCCGGCCCCGCGCCCGTCCTAGCTGGCCCCCGCGCCCGTCCTACCGGCCCCCGCGCCCGTCCTACCGGCCCCCGCGCCCGTCCTAGCCGGCCCCGCGCCCGTCCTAGCTGGCCCCCTCGCCCGTCCTACCCGGCCCCCGCGCCCGTCCTAGCCGGCCCCGCGCCCGTACTACCGGCCCCAGCGCCCGCCCTAGGCCCGTCCTAGCCGACCCCGCGCCCGCCCTACTGGCCCCCGCGCCCGTCCTACCAACCCGTGCGCGCGCCCTGCCCGTCGACCTCCGGCCCCGTGCTCACCTTCCCGCCGGTCTGCCGCCGATCTGTGTGTGGCTCGCTCTTCGTGCCCGCTACAGCCCTGCATCCTCCCGGTATGGTACTGCATCCCCCTGCACCGCACTGCAGTGCACTGCACCGCACTTCACCGCGCTGCCCCGCACTGTACCGCACTACACCGCACTGCACCGCACTGCCCCCCGCACTGTCCCGCACTGCATCGCACTGCGCTGTCCTGCACTCCCCAGACTCGCCTGGCGCAGCACTGCACCGTTCCTGATGGCGGGGGAGCTTCGCTTCGATGCTGAAGGCCAGCCTCTGGAGTTTGAGGCCTGGCTAGCCGACCTCCGCCACCACCTCAGCGGCAGGATGGCCACTCGCTTTCGGTACACCTTGACGATACGCTTCCCTGCCCAGACCCCCCTGCTGTGCTGCCAGCTGACCCCACACCTGCTGAGCGTGAGTCTGCTGCGGCCGCTGCCCCTTGCTCGCTCTGTCTGGCTTTCCCGTGACGCTGTCGCTCAGCTTGCCATTAGCAATGCCCTCCTCCTGTCTGGGCGCCCTCGCTTTCGGTCTATCACCACCGCCCAGACTTTCCTAGATGCTGTTATCCAGCGCTATTCCACCACGCCTGCTGCCTCGGTGGGTCGCCTGATCCTCCCTCTCCTCTTCCCTAACCTAGCGTCGTTCCCCACGGTTGCTGACCTAGCTGCCCACCTCCGCACGATAGATGAGACCTGGCTCGCTGCCTATACTGACGCACAGCTTAGAGCCCATCAGCCGCCCCTTACCTCTACCCTCTACCTGCTTGCCACCCGCCTCCCTGACCGCCTTGCCGCTGCTCGTGACCGCTTCCTTAGCATTCAACCCGGTGACCTCACCCTCACAGACTTTTTAGACACCCTGACTGTTATCGAGACCCGCCACCGCTCTATCGCCCAGGTGAGCGGTACTGTGCTGGTCCCTTTCTTTCAGGGTTGTGCCCCTGCTCTGTGCACCTTCTCCGATGGTTCTGCAGCTGTGGCTGAGACAGCCGCTGCAGCGCAGTTCCGTCCGGGGAAGGGTCGCCGCCCCAAGTCTGGACGCGGCGGAGGGGGTGGGGGCGCAGGTGGAGGTGGTGGTGGAGTCGGGTCGCTTGGTGGTGGACAGACGAGGGGACCCTGCCGGGTTCAGCTGAGCAGCCGCTCCAGCAGCCGCAGCAGCAGCAGCAGCAGCCACAGCAGCCGCAGCAGCCGCAGCCCCTGCACCAGCCGCAACAGCCGCAGCAGACGAGGCCGGCGAGTGGCCTCCCGCCCGGGTGGCCTGGCGCTGGTGGTGGTCGTTCGCGTGGTGGTGTACCGGGTGGCGGTTCGGGAGGCGTGCGCTGTCAGTACCAGCTCCAGACCGGTCCTCGCCGCGGCTTCGTTTGTGGTAAGATCGGTCACACCACTGCCCGTTGTTTTTGTCCCTTGGACGACCTGTTTCATCAGCGCTTGGGCCCGTCGCCAGACCTCCCGGACTGGCACAGTTTGCTTAGTTGTCGAGTTCAGATTTTTGACATGGACATGGATGCTATTGTTGCTGCTCTGCATGTGATGTATGTTGATGACTCTAGTGTGCTACCCTCTAATTACTTCTTGTCACCTAGTGTAGGTGTGCCTAGCTTAGCCTCCCCTGCTGTATCAGGCATAGGAGCTCCTGCTTTGTTTAGCCTTGGTGCTTCCGCCGTCGCCCCGTCGCCAGATGCCACTGCTGCGCTTTCCTTCACCTTGGACTCTGGCGCTTCCCGGTGTTTCTTCCGCGACTCCACTACGCTGATGCCGCTTCCTGTTCCTGCTGCAGTTTCTCTAGCTGACCCCTTTGACGGTCCAGTAGTTGCCCGCAGTTCCACCACCCTTCCCTGTCCGGTGGTTCCTTCGGGCTCTCTCACAGGTCTGCATATCCCCTCGTTCTCCAGGAACCTAGTTGGTGTCGGCTGCCTCCAGGACCTTGGCGTCACCACTACGTTCCCTGGTTACGAGCGGTATGCTGTCTGTACCGAGGCCGCCACTGGTGCCCCCCTTTCCCCGTTCCCCCGGGACCCGGTGTCCGGCCTGTTCACCCTGGACACCGTGACCCCCCCGGCTAGGGCGCCCCCTCAGGTGGCTGCGTCTTCCCAAGTTGCTGCTGCCTGCTCCTGTCGGTCCCTCACTCACCCGACTCTCCTGTGGCACCACCGCCTAGGTCACCCTGCGCTCCCGCGTCTGCGTCACATGTCCCAGCACGGTCTCGTCCTTGGTCTCCCCAGCTCGTTTCCCGCTTTTCCCTCCTCCCCCACCCCACTGTGCACGCCTTGTGTCGAGGGTCGGCTTCGCCGTGCCCCTCACTCCTCCTCGTTTCCCCCTACCGCCGCGCCGCTGCAGACCCTGCACATGGACGTTTGGGGCCCCGCCCCCGTCCATGGGCCGTGTCAAGAGCGCTACTTCCTCGTGCTTGTCGACGACTTCACTCGCTACACCACAGTCTTTCCCCTGGAGCGAAAGGCCAACGTGCCTGCCGCTCTCATCCCCTGGCTTGTCTCTGCGCGTGTCCACCGAGGCCTCCCTGTCTTGCGTCTTCACTCAGACCGTGGTGGCGAGTTTGCCTCAGGTGTCCTAGGTCGCTTCTGTCGTGCGGAGGGCATCACCCAGACGTTCACCCTGCCGGACTCCCCACAGCAGAATGGGGTCGCTCAGCGACGCATCGGTTTGGTCATGGAGGTGGCTCGCACCTCCATGATCCATGCCGGTGCACCTCATTTTCTGTAGCCCCTTCGCCGTGCGCTACGCTGCTCACCAGCTTAACCTGTGGCCGCACCCCCAGCAGCCGCAGGTTTCGCCGACCCTTCTTTGGACCGGGTCTCCTGGTGACGCATCTGCGTTCCACGTCTAGGGCTGCCTTGCTCACGTTTGTGCCTCTGGCACGGACAAGCTCACTGTCCGCACCCTTCCCTGTGTCTTCCTCGGTTTCCCCCTTGACGCGTCCGACTGGCACTTCTACCACCCGCCGTCTCACCGTTTCTTTCACTCTCGCGACGTCATCTTTGACGAGTCCGTCTCCTTCTACCGTCGTTTCCCCCACCCCGGTCCCCCTGTTACCCCCCCCTTGTTCCTGGTCACTCCTTCCCTGGTGGTCCCTGCCTCCCCCCCTCCCCCTCCCCGTCTTGCCCCCTCTGGTGTGTCCCACGTCACCCCTCTCCCGTCGGTTGTCCCGGTCGAGGAGTCTTCTGACTCTGGTGGTCCTGCGGCGCAGTCCTTGCCGTCTGCCCCCCCCCACGTGTCTCCTCCTCCACAGCCTCTACAGCCGCCGTCGCCCCTGCTGTCGCAACCGTCTTCTCCGCCGCCGCCGCCGCCGCACCCGTCGTTGCCGCCGCCGCAGCCGCCGCCGTCGCAGCAGCAGTTCGTCGACTCTGGGGGTGCTCGCAATGGGGTGGGTGCTAGTCTTGGAGTTCCTGTCGTGGCCTGTCCCGGTGGCCCTGGGGGTGGTACCGGTGCTCGAGGGGTTTCGGGCTCTAGGGGTGTTCCTTCTGGGGGTGCCGGAGTGGAGTGTCCCGGAGGTAGCCGAGGAGCAGCTTGCGGTTCCGGTGTCGGTGTTGTGCCGTCGCAGCAGCAGTCCCCGCCGGTGTCA